AGAGCCCTCTCCCCTCTCCCAGCCACTGGCTGGCTCGTGACTTCCTGCAACCCTTCCTGCTTCTGCCCCACACCTGGCCCCAGACCTTGGTATTTGCAGAGCCTGCACCACGTAGGCTCCCAGTCAGCTCAAAACCAGCCCCAGCCCCACTTCCTCCACTCTGGGCCCTGTGCTGGCCACAGCCAGGACGCATCACTTCCTGACCCCACAGCCTAGGACCGGCTGGCCCGTGCCCACCCAGGGGTGTGTTCTGGGAGACACACCTTCCTCCAGGGCCTACTGCCACAGCCAAGGGACTGTCTGCGTGGAAGCTCAGCCATTCGCTCCCTTCCTTCACCTCAGCTGTCTCCCCACCCCCACCAAGAGCTTTCCACCTACACTGCCTGGGGTCACACCTGAGCTCTGCCCTTTACCCGCTGGTATGACCTGGGCCAAGTCACTGACAACCTGGCTTCTGTTTCCCCTAGCGAAATGGTGGCGGTGCCACCCAGCTCCCGGGCGGGTGAGAGCTCAGCACAGCGCCTGGCACAAGACACACAGGCGAAGCTCGCTGCTGCCCTCGCGTCTGCCTTTCCCGACCCGGGGAGGCCCGGCTGCCGGGCCCCAGTCTGAGGGGAGAATGGAGCTCAGAGAACGGCGGAGTGGCCGAGGAATTCTACAGTCTTAACCCTACCCCTCCTCCAGTCAGAGTGGAGAGGCCGGGCGTGGGCCTCGGGAATCTCTGGTCTTCATGACTAGTCACAGCTAGCACCGTGCTGGCCACTTCATGTTGCTATCGCATGCCGTCCGCCCAGCAGGTCCTTGAGAGGTGTGAGTGCTATTTCATGGGTGAGAAAGCTCAAAGTCAAGCGCATACTGTGGACAACAGAGGGGCCCTGCCGTAAACCTAACCGACAGTAACCTCGCAGGGTGATCTCATCACACATTCCTGACTGGGCGGGACATGGTGAACAGTCACACCCCAGGCCCATAACTTCTTTAGCACAAGGTTTATCTCTGCCTCCGGCAAGCCCTGTCCGTCGGTTCCGTGCATCTAGGTTAACACACTGCTTGCGATGCCTTTTGCAGACCCCTGGGAAGTGGAACTAACCTGAAGGGAGCCCAGGATCTTGTTAACGGTCCTGGAGTCCAACGCCGGCCCTGCTGTCTCCCACCCTCATGTAATCTTCCCTCCTGAATTCTAAACGCATAAGAGAAACCGCAGAACTGTCATTCTCCGGAGCAATCTGAGGCCGTGCTTCCCAGCACTGTCGTCAGTTTGGCTCAGATAAAGTCTATTAAAATTCTCTACAGGTCGGACGTTTCTACATCGACAGTCCAAGTAGAAGAGGCACAACTTGAGCTTGAGGTCTGCCTGACTCCTGACCTCACAGTCTGCGCCACTGTCGGGGAGACCCTACGTCCACACAAGACGAAAAGGCGGTCCCAGCAGGCAGGACCTGCTCTGTGACTTGGGCAGGCCCCTTCCTCTCCTTTGCCTCAGGCTGCCATGTTGCCTCTCTGCTGGGAGTGGGGACATGCCCATGAATCAGGCCAGGTATCCACCAGGTACCTGCTTCTCACCCTGTGGGAGCCATGAGCCCAGGCTCCTGACTCATCTAGCACTTCGTCCCTCACTGTCACAAGCAGAGAAGCAGAAGAGACGGGGGGGGGGGGCAACTCCCACCCCCCATCCAGGTAGCCCTGAGAGGCCTGCCCTGCCCTTAGCCGCCACCCCGACCCTTGGCCACTCCCGCCTGTTGCGGGCTATCTGACTTGGGAAGCTGGCTTCTTTGTTCAGACAAGGAAGGAAGAAGAAAGTTGTTTTTCAGGCAGCAAAGCTCTTAGATAAACATGAGTTATCTCTCTCTATTCCTTCTTAAAGGAATTGGGTTCCTTCAGAAAAGAAACTAGATTCACCGGCTGATAGCGCCCAGGGATGAAGCGCAGCCCGGAGCCTGGCTGGGGAGCGGAACACTGAAGGAGGCTTTCTTATCCGGCCGAGCACCTGCTGCCAGCTCTGGCAGGCCCGTGGCTCAGGTGACAGGGCCCTGGTGCCAGGCCACAGCCTTGCCAGCTCCCAGGCTCCCGATGGCCTGGCCCACCTCCTCACCCTCCCCTCCAGCCACCCCCACCGGCATGCCTGCCAGGCTGGATCTGCCAGAAGCCGAGAACTTCTGTTCACCTTGGGGTGACCCCTTCCTCCTGGAGCACCCCTCCTGGAGCACTCCCCCTGCCCTGCCCTCAGGAGCAGACCAGCCCCCCTGCTGTCAGAAGAGAGTTAACAACTGGGTATTTCCACAACAGAATGGCCTTCCCCACCTGGTCAGAGAGATTCAAGAATTGCCATGGGTGCATTTTCAGAAGGAGAAGTGAAACCCAGAAGGGGCCCTGACAGAGCTGACACGACTCCCCCCCCGCCCCCCCCCCCCGCAACTCGGGGGCTCCCTGGGTCCTTTTGCCCACGTCCCAGTGTGGCTCACCGGTGTGGTGTCATCATGGGAGCGCTGGTAGCGTTTCCAGCGGCAGCCGTAGATGCCCGTGAGGCAGGAGAGGCACAGCTGGGGCTCGTAGTACTGCAGGGGCTGGTGTCTTACCATGCTCGTGCCCGAGGCCCTGGTGCCCGGCCCTCAGGAGCCCATGGGGGCCCCAGGCTGGTTCTGTGGGAGAAAGCACAAGGCTGTGAGGCAGGGGAGGGGTGAGGAGTCAGCCCTAGACACAGCAAAGGTCATGGTAGCCGAGGTCAGGGTGGGTCAGCTCCGCACAAATCCCTGCAGTGGGTCCCAGGCCCACCTGGAGTCCGAGGCCCACCCTGCAGGTCTCCCAGGACGGCCACCTGCCACCCTCCCCTGATCTAGTCCCCCGCTCAGCCACACCAGCCAGCACACTGCTACTGCCTCCTCTGCCCGGAAGGCTCTTCCCTTAAGTACCCGCATGGTTCCCTCCTTCCCCTCCTCCCCTCAGGTCTTTGCTCAAATATCTGTCTCAACCAGACATCCCAGGTCATCTTCCGTAAAACTGCAACCCCTTCCCCTACCGCTCAGCCATTTTTAGCTTTATTTTCTCAATCGTAATTTACTTTTTTTGTTTCTCATCTGCCTATCCCACTATGATGTACGTTTCATAAAGGCAAGGATTTTGTCTGCTTTATTCTCTGCTATATGCCCAGTAACTGGAACAGAGCCTAGCACACAGAACTTTCCAAATAAATATTTTGAAATAAATTATCATAAAAAATAAATAAAAAATTATCATAAAAGCTGACATGTACTGAGCATTTAAAATATTCCAGGCCCTGTGCGAACACTTTATAACCATCTCACTGTCTCAAGTGGAAGGTACTGTGTGTCCCAAACCCATTTGACAATTGAACAAACTGAGGCTCAGAAGAGAAGGGGTCAGCGCCTGGCCTGCGGTCACACAGCTGGGTGCGGCCAATCTGGGAATCTGGAGCCTGACGAGTTCAATCCTTCAGGCCCAGGGAGACCCAGCCCAGCAGGGCTCGTGGGTAGAACTATGGGATGTGCCTAGTGGGTTGAGTTGCTGCCACCAGGAGCAACTGCCCCGGCCCTGCTTGGTGCCCTGGAGATACCAGCTGGGGCTCAGTGTAGCCAGTGGCCATTGGCTGGGGCACCTCACACACCCTGATGTCAGGCATCATCCGACCCTCAACACCCCTGTTATCATGGTCCCATTTTAGCGATGAGGAGCGTGGGGCTCAGAGCAGCAAACGTTTTACCCAAGGAGCCAGGACTCAGCTCGTGGTCTGTGGATTCTAGACACTGGAGCCATTTGCTTTGCACCAGACCCTGTCCAGGGCTCTGGAGACCATGTGGACAGGACAGACGCAGTGACCCCTCAGGGCCCTCACAGGACCGGCGAGGGGCACGAGCAGGCCCACACTAGGCTCCAGGCACCAGTCCAAGTGCTGTCCGTATCCTAACTTGAACAGCAACCTCTGGCGTAAGTGTTATCATTATTTTTGTATTGAGCTATAATTCACACACCATAAAATTCACCCCTTTAAAGTGTACAATTCAGTATTGAGCGTTTTCGGCTTTTAGGATAGTCACGGAGTTGTGACTAATTCCAAAGTATTTCCATCATTTCAGCAAAAACTCCATACTCACCCCGTCCACCCCCCATCAACCCCATTCCCACCCCTCAAACCCTGACAATCACTCATCTACCTTCTGTCTCTATTTATGTGCCTGGTCTGGGCACTTCATCTAAATGTAATCACACAATATGTGGCCATTGGTGACTGGTTTCTTTCGCTTAGCACCATGTTTTTAAGGGTCATCCATGCTGTAGCATCGATCAGTGCATTCCTTTTTGCAGCTGAAGAATATCCAATCGTACAGATATACCATCTCACCCACTCGCCAGCTGATGGGCATTTGGGTTGTTACTGCTTTGTGGTTGTCACGAACAACACCGCTGTGAGCAGGTTTCTGTGTGAACATATGTTTTCATTTCTCTTGAGTCAGTACTTTGGGATGGAATTGCTGGGTCATATGGTTTAACCTTTTGAAGAACCGCCAAAAGCTGCTTCTGCAAGCGGCGGCACCATTTCATATCTCAAAGTACTATCATTACCATCTCCCTTGCACAGATGAGGAATACGGAGCACAGAAGGGTTTAGCTATTTGCCGTAGGTGACACGGCAGAGCCAGGCAGTCTGGCTCCAGGAGGGGCCTTGCTCTCACCCAGGGGTTGGCAAAAGGTAACTCAGGGGCCGTATCTGGCCAGCCATCTATTTTTGTCTCCCATCCAAGCACTAATCAGGCCCGTCCCTGCTTAGCTTCCAAGGTCAGGCGAGATCGGGTGCGTTCAAAGTGGTATGGCCATAGATAGGCAACTATTTCTGTATAGCCCACGAGCTAAGAATGGTTTTTACATTTTTAAAGGATTGAGAAGAGAAAAAAAATCAAACAAGAACACATTTGTGGCACATGAAAATGATAGGAGAGTCACATTTCAGTGGATCCATAAATAACGTTTCATGGGAGGCAGCCAGGCTCGTTCGTTTGTGTATTGTTATGGCAGCTTTAATTGTAACTGCAGAGCCCGAGGAGTTACGACCGCGTCCATATGGCCCA